AGGGGCATGGAGGCCCTGAGCCCCACACCTGACAATTAACATATCACTCTGTTGTGAAACTATAGAAATATATCAGTTACTAACTTCAAGCTATAGTGATATGTCAATTGCTGTGTGTTTTTTTTAAAAAAAAATCAAAACAAACTAGTGGTAGTAGGGGGAATGGTGGCTGCAAGACGGATGGCACAGGGAAAGTGTGGGGGAAAGGACCATGCAGACGCTCCATTGCCACTGTGGATATGGCAACAGAAGAAACACACACAAAAATGCCACTCTGAGGATGCAGCCTCCAATCAAACGGCCTGGGAGAAAGGACCACAAAGAAGGTAATCAGCCACCAGTCACAAAAACCAATCAATTCCTCCCTTTGTAAATATGTACAAAACCAGAACACTTAAAAGGCTCAGGTCAAAAAGCAACAGTCACATTCACGCACAGTATGTGTACAGGCCCCAGAAGAGTTAAGCACACCGTGTATGTCAGTCCCCATTTCCTAATGGTATGCAGTCAAAGGGATAATTTTGCCACAAGTATGCATACCCAAGCAATTTACTTCTGCTTGTGCAATGGGAGTGGTATGAGCATGTGGAAAATCTACAGCCTTCTGAAGAGTTTGTCCAAATTCATACTCAAAACAGATGACACAAATAAAGTCTGCCAACATCTCTCATTGACAATTGCTGAAAGGAAAAGACAAGTACTCATTTCTGGCTGACACCCATCTGCCAATCTGTTATGTTCCTTTATTAGAGACAGAAATCTTTCTCAACATCCCATCCCTGTCCTCACCCCATCCCATCACGAAAAAGGGTGATTTCTGCCATGCTGGCTGCCCTATTTCTAGCAATGACACAGAACATAGTTATTATAATTAATCCTGAATTCCAAGGGTGCAACCATTTACTGGATTTATCTGCTGACGAGATGCTAGTGGGAGCCCAAGGAAGAAGGTGAAGCTGCCCTACTTACATGGTCCCACAAGTGAGGGCGACGGCATTTGCCTCTGTAGATCTAGGCCTGCCAACCAACCATCATTTTACTGACCTAACCAGTAAAACTGCATTTTGGGCAGCAACCAGTATCTGGATCGGCAAAGCAAGTAAACTTCAGAAAGAAGCCAAGGTGTCTTTTTTGTTTTTACTGTTGACACCACCCTTTTGCTAATAATCTGATTGGTTCATTAGGCTCCAGCCTTAATCTTAGATGCACACACATCCACAATGGGAACACTAATTCAAATACACAATCACAAAATCCTCCTTTCATTCTCTTCTGTAGACTGTTAACTGTCTTAAAATCGCGATATCAGTGGCACTAAAATTTATTATATAGGTCACTCCACTTCACAGGCTTCGAACATGTAGAAACACATTAAGAAGTGAAAATATAAATAAGAACCTTCCCAATATGGGTTACTCATGATCTAGATATGGAGTCCTACAGCGTTGTCTGTAGGGTCCTAAGTCCTGGATTGTGGCATGGGACAAAACTGAGTAGCAGCCAAAGAAAAGTATGGAAATGTTTTTCACTTACAAGTGTTGAAACTTCAGAGAATCCACTCCAAAGGCTTTTTTTTCATTGATTCATTTGGGAACTGCATTATTAACATTCACTTTGACATTTATTTAGAAAATGTGTAAGCCACCTCTCCAGAGGTCTGCAAAAGGTGACACACAAAGTGAAACACAATAGATGAAAAAAACAGTGTAAAGCTATTAAAATTAGCCAACCATTAGCAGATCATTTCAGAGGGTAGCCATGTTAGTCTGCAGTAGAACAGCTAAATTTGAGCCCAGTGGCACCTTAAGTGACCAACAAGATCAGGGCTATTTTTGGGCAGGAACGCACAGGAACGGAGTTCCGGCTGGCTCCTGAGTTGGCCACGCCCAGCAGGAACTCATTAGCATAATAGGCCACATCCAACAGCAGAAAATCATTAGGATTGGCTACATTAGGGGTGAGTGGCCTAACATGCAAAGAAGTTCCTGCTACAAAAAAAGCTCTGGGTTTTAACAACAAACAAGGTAAACAGAATAAGAAGCAAAAGGTTGGTGTGGCTGGATGACCACACTTCTGGTAACATGTAGGTGCGGCCTAATATGCTAATGAGTGGTGCCGTCAGGGGTGTGGCCCAATATGCTAATGAGTTTCTGCTACTGGGTGTGGCCTATTATGCTAATGAGTTCCTGCTGGGCTTTTTCTACAAAAAAAGCCCTGATCAAGATATTTGGGGTGTGAGCTTTCAAGAGTCGAAAGCTCACACCCCAAAAATCATCTTGTCTCTAAGGTGATACTGGTCTCAAACCAACCATTTAGCAGCCTAAATTCTTCAAACTAGAAACAGACCATGACAACCGTTTTAAAAGATCAAACCCTTTAGTGAAAAGCTTTGATAAAATAAGTTTGGCTTCAGCTCTGCAGGTGAAGGCATACAGAGCAGGACTTCAAGGAGAACGGGTGGGCTGGATTTATTTCTGATGTAGATTTATTAGATTAACAAGTCACTTTGTTGGATCCCAATTTGATGGACTGCCTTTGGCAGGGATGAGTTGTTATTGGTGAGAGAACGCTATTAGTGGCTGATGACAATATGTTCTGCTGGCAACAACCAAGATGCAAGTAAATATCTAGAGATGCTCTACAAAAAATAAAATACCCTCATCTTTGAAGCCTTGAGGTAACCAATAGCAAAGTCAGTTTGCATCAACAGATACACAAGTATGTTAATTATAGACTCACAGTGCAATCCTACACAGTTATACCCTTTTAAGTTTATTTGCTAATGGACAGTTAAAAGGTAAAGGTTCCCTTGCTCGAAAGCCAGTCGAATCCGACTCTAGGGTTGCGGTGCTCATCTCCGTTTCAAAGCCGAAGAGCCAGCGCTGTCCGAAGACGTTTTTGTGGTCATGTGGCCGGCATGACTAAACACCAAGGCGCACGGAACGCTGTTACCTTCCCACCGAAGTGGTACCTATTTATCTACTTGCAATTTCTTGCTTTCGAACTGCTAGATTGGCAGAAGCTGGAACTAGAGATGGGAGCTCACTCCATCATGCGGCACCCGGGTCTCGAACTGCTGAACTACTGACCTTCCAGTCTGCAGTTCAGCGTCTTAACCACTTAAGCCACCGCAGCTCCAATGGACAGTTACTTGCGTGCTTATTGAAACTGATATATCAATCTCATAATTAAAGGTAGCAAAAAAGCGTTGACAAGGTACAAAAATTTGATGTGTGTTATCTAAGAATACTTTGGGGGAAGTAATCTTGAAAGTATAAGAAATTAGTTGAAGGATATGAGTCCAACTAAATGGGACAGTGAGGTGCTATTAAAGATTATTTTAATAGAAGGCAATTTCTTGAAAACCTATGGATATGATCATTGTGGTAGGGGGGCAATCAGATCCATGAAAGCATGGATAGCTACTGGCTTGGACTCATGCAGAAGCTCTTTCCTTCCTAAATTGTTTCTTTAGAACTAAGTACTGAAACTTTAAAAAAAAAAATCCAGGTGGTCAGCCATTTTGGTCTGAAGCAGCAGAACCAATTTAGAATCCAGTGGCACCTTTAAGACCAACAAAGTTTTATTTGAGGTATGAAAGATTAGGATGTTAAATAGTGGTCGAACCTGTACCTACATAAGAGATCACTGGAAAGTTCTCCCCTGACCCACCAGGTTCCATCCTAGATCTTCCTTGACTCCGTTCTTGGCCAAACTCTGCTGCAGGACCCCAATCAATGAGCCAAACATGAACAACCAAAGCACAACCCACCTACACCTCTTTTCTGTCCCCTTCCCCAGTTTATTACTCCTGCTATAGCACCTACTTTCATGACCACCAGTATACTGACCCTCACCTCACAATAACCCCTTGTAAGCCCAAAAGATCACTGAGTTTAATAACTGAAAAAGGATGGGGTTTCATTTTCTGCTATGATGTTCAACTGCACCTTGAAATCGCTCTTGCTTTTTCAAGCCTTTGATAATACAAAGCTTAAATAGCATCTTCAAGTTCAGGCAGTTGAAGTGTTTGCATAGTGTGTCTATTCAAATGACACCTTTTGGATCCATCTCCACCCCCAAATCTAGATTGAATATATCCATAAAGAACAGCTCTGGTCAATCTGCTCACCATTCACAATGAGCAAATGGTGGGTGACCATGATGGAGGGTGAAGAAAGAAGGGGGAACGCACTCAAACTAGCAGCTTTAATTTGAATAGCTGTATAAGTGGTTTGCAAAAATTATTTTTAATTCAGAATTTGGGTAAGTACTCTTGGATCTTATTCTTCAGAGACTTTTCATCTTTGTAAGAGTAAGAAATAATAAATGACATTTATATTTAAATCAAACGAGGGAAAGAAGCATAAGCACATGAGATGGAAAGATACACAGCCAGTGGCTATTGCTAAGGTTTCCCATCAGAGGCCCCTGCAAATTCATGTCTTCTGTGCTATGGAATTGCCTTCTTGAATCAGACCATCTAGAGAGCAGCACTACATCCCCAACAGTGGAGAGACATTCCAGAGATGCTCATTAGCAAAAAGTGATACCCTTCTCATTTATTCCTTCTCAGCGTCTGCCACGCGTAGGTACTCTACATCCCCAAACAGATGTTTTATTAACTGGTAAGATCTACTGCCAAATGTTTTTCTGTTCATAAGCCTCTTGTGCACTGCATTCCTAGGCAGATCTTCTGAGAATCCTTCTTACCCTCAAGAAAATTTTCTCAAGAGTCTACTGCTGAATACCTAAGGGGGTGTGTGTGTGTTTGAGACTGGCTTGCCTCTAGCTTTCCATTCTGTAGAGGGGGAAGATTTGAAGAAAATCAGACAACCAGCATGTAACCTGTACATGTATATGCAGAAACAGTTTTTAAAATGTGAAAGACAAACCATGTATTATTTTAAAACACTTTTTTTAATTTAAATATTAAATAAAACACAACTAGTAATTTGGTATACATCTCATTTAACATAATAAAATGATCTTCAGTCATGGTAAAAAATAAAAACTATACATCTTAATTAAAACAATCACATAGCATCTTTAAATAATCTATTGCACTGCAATCTGCAGAACAGCACTGTCAAAGAACTCTACCCCCTCCCCCAAAAAACAACAACACACAAACCCTGAAATGTTGAAAATGACCTTTTTCTATTTTGGAATAGTTTCAAACTATTTTTCTATAATCACACAGAAATGGAGGGGAAAGGGTTCTCTGAAAGTAAAGTGCTTTTCATTGCTCAGAACAAGAAACAGACATTGTTTTTGTGGCCACTTGATCTATGACACTGGGGGGGGGATTAGACAGAAAAGGGAAAAAGGAAAGAGTTGTTAAAACTATATGTGCTACTTTACGAAAATGAAGGCAACATTGCTGCTTTGTAACAATCTTGCCTCACTCATTTTTGTCACTACTACTAACCACAGACCAAGCCAGGAACCTCTGGTGCTTCCTCTGCTCAAAAGGCACCAGTCAGAGGGAATGAGATAATTTCCTTTCACCTTGAAGATCCCAGACCACATAGCAGCAGCATCAAGCTGAAGACACATCGATATTGATCCTGTACATAAAGAGGTTGAAGAGCCACAGACAGAGCCACATAACATTATCGTCTATTTCCCCCCTCCCCACCCCAATCTACCCGACAGACAGACAAGATAGTCTTTGGCTTATTTGCTTAAAAATACCTTTTTTTTTACACATATATAACACTGCAGGCTGCAAGAAGCAGTAGTAACTTGAAGGCACCCCTGTGTTACATTTAAAGAAATGGGTCCTTAACATATTAGACAGAATGAAGCTGGTTTTAAACATCAGAATGGTATTTTTGGACCAAGCTGGCTCGCTACTTGCTCACCTGCTACAGAAATTTGACCTCCCTTCTCCTTTGCCACTAGCTAACTGCTGCAAGGTCAAAGGAGGTCACACTGTGGTCTCCCTCACCCCTGTGATGTCCAGGCCTGGCTTCCATTATCACCAATGGAAGCCATTTTCTGGTCAGAGGGAGCCAATGCCAGAAAATTATTGAAGCTTATTTCAAACCCCAAGAAGTAGTGTATAGTGTCTTCCAATTCCTATACACATGTGCACATGCACACACACACACATCCCACACATAAAAAAGCCTATAAAAACTTACCTATTTGTATGCAAAACAACAAAACCCAGAACTTGTGCTATCTGACTCAGTTTAACTAGCTTGTTCATAAAAAGACTGTATTTGTAGAGTATCACTTTGTGCTATTCTCTTCCTTTCAACTGTCAGTCTAGTTGTCAAAAAATCTGAATATTGCACTTTTCCCAAATGAGTTGGTTCAGTTTGGACCCTGATAATGAAATGCATTAAAAAAAAAACCCTCATTAGCAGCGGCAATAAATGTATACAGCACTGAAAAAAACCCATAGGCAACCTCAAAACAATATTAGGGCTTTGGGGGGGATGGGAAGTTAAAAAAACCACTAGAATAACATTCTTTTAAAAGTCTTCCCATCACTGCCGCAATAATATCAGTAACTCCATGCCAATATATAAAATATTCCTATCATTTCAGAACAAAGGCAACATGAAAGCAATCTGTAGCCTGATAACAGGGAACAGCCATCCCAAGAGAGTAAATTAATTGCTAATGATGACTACAAACTATTTTTAGCTGTTATGTCTGAGATACTAAGCAAAAAGTTCACAGTTTTCTCTTAAGGTACAAATGTTTGAGTGGGGGGGGGGAAATAAGCAGAAGAGGTATAGGTTCCTTTAAAACAAGCATCAAAATGCTTTCACTATTGTTCGTCTATCTCTGCACGTTACTTGCTGCTTCTGCACTTTGTGTTTTGTTTTTTTAAGAAAGAGGTAAGCATCTTCACAAATCCATAAAATAAATATTGTGAATAGGGCGGCTCTGGTCCCTTCTTTGAAAAAGCCATTCCCTGCCATGCCACAACCACTGACAACCTTTGAAGTCTTGCATAACAGCAGAGCTGTATTGGCCTAACCTTAATACAGTACCAGAAAAGTTCCCCCTGGCCCCACCCACCCATCCCCATTCCCTGTCATTATTTTTTTTTAAGGTTTTCCTTTCTGTTTCTCATTATATTTGTTCAGTGCAAGGATTGTTGAAGCCAAAAAACATATATATTGCTTTTTTATCAGTTCTATAGAGTTAGGAGCATTACTGAGCCAAATGGTCTCTTCACATACTTCAAACATGTTATTGCTTCTGCGAGTTATTCACTGTTGCAAAATTCACTGTTGCAAAATACAGTCAATCACCCTTCCTCAGATCTTAGTAGGAGTGGAATTCTGTCCCAAAAGAGATGCATTAATGCAAAGAACACGAACACTTCTCATTTGACCATGACGAATTTCCCCATCTGGGCAGAAGTGAGATCCTCCATTTCAAAGTCCCCATGCCGCAAACTGATGGCATCGTAGGCTGGAGATTGCACAGTAAAGTTATTCTGCTGAGAAAACATGGAGGCAATGGGGGATGGGTTGTTGCTGATGTGCAGATGAGTGTCTAGAAGATGAGCAGCTGAAGACACTGGAGAGGCGCCAACACTAAAAAGGTGGGACCGAAGAAGCTGGGTGTTGCCAAAGGCCAATTCTGATGAGTTCTCACTTTGCAGTTCAGACAGGAGGAGGGAAGTGGATGATTTACTGCCTTTTGTGTCAAACAAGCTGATGGTGTGTGATTGAGACACCTGAGAAGGCTGGTGACAGGCTGCCTGGTGATGTTGTAACTGAAGCATTCTGAACAGAAGAATGAAGAAATTAATTATTTTAATAGGCCTCCTTATGCTTCTCACAGAGCATACCTTCAGCCCTCGTGTCATGTGGTGATTGCTAGCTATCAGAAGCAGGGATCTCCACAACTCATAACATTATAAGCTAGAATGTGATAAGAAAATATGGACAAAGTTCCATTATTAAGCCACAGTACTCCACCTCTCTTGTGGGCTGTGTGACAAACATTCAAACTGTACATGTGCTTTCGGTGGTGGGATGCCGACCCAACCCATTCTCTCTGGTGCACTAACCTCACCTTATTTCACCTCATCTACTACTATTCCCAAAGTTCAACTTAATGTTTGCATATCTGTAGTGCAAAATCAGATGGGCTCTATCAGCATGATCTACACATTACAAAATATGGGTGTACAGATGGTATGGATTAGGGCAACACACATGTACAACCAATGTGTAGAAACTATGAAAACAAATTTGGAAAAGATGGGTTGTAGTTTGGCCGGCTGGTGTGATTCCCAGCCTGTATCACCATATAGTGTACCCTAAAACTATACATAAAACAGCAATTCTGCATTCAGCTTGGTCAAAACCAGTACATTTTCCTGTTGTTACAATGCCAGCATTACACTGGGCTCATGTCTTATGTCTGGTGCTGTGTTCTCACCTCTGCTGCTGAAGCACCTCTTCAAGCATGTTCCTGCTCTCACTGCAGCTGCTGCCGCCACCATTTCCCCCACTACCATAAACACAGGCATTTGGCTGAGAATGCTGGAAAGGACTCATGCTGTTACGGGCTATCCGAGCAGATGATGACTGGCACACCTGGCGAGCAAGCCCTTTGATTTTATTCAGTCCCAGAAAACCCTTGGCTCTAGCATTCTTCCGCAGCTGCTGTCTAAATGCCTTCAAGCCTACAGAGCGAAGAAAAAGGGGAGAGAAATTGTACATCCATGTATATTACATGTTAATATCTTCCATGGACACAAAACGTCTTGCCCCTGAATTTCTACTATACTCCTCTCCCCTAAACCAAAGCCAATTTGCAACCTTGACCAGATAGCTCATTACGTAACTCTGTTTAATCTCCTGTGCATCACATCCCCCATGCCCCAATCCAAATCTACACCTCTTAATTTGGGACTCTTCCATGAGATGCAAACATAATGCATTTTAGGGTTTAAGAAAAAAATTATAAAATGAAGAGGCTCCTAGTTACTCTGTATCTTATGCATGTGTGTATATCTGTACACATACACACATAGACACCCCACTATTCTGCTGATGTAGCAACAAAAGAATTACCTTGAGTTAATGAGGTATCGGATGCTCTCCTTCCTTCCTGGAAGCTGACAGGCAACAGAGAAGCATCACCCATGCAGCCCTGAGTCTGCAATACTGGTGTGTCTGACTGAGAAGTCAGAAATGATGATGTGACTCTGGCTGTGCCTGGGTGACCAAGCATCATTTGATCTTCCAAACAATTGCTCGGAGTCATAGAGCTATCATTTGATGATGAAGTGAGGCAGCTGTCAGAACTTCTTCCTTCTGTGGGGCTTGTGGATGAAGAAATCACTATACCTACAAGAAGGTGATATACAAGAAGAGAACATTTATGAAATCACACAGGAAGTAATCAAAACTGCTCAATACTAGCCTCTCCACCTACAGAAAATCTGCTAGTATCCAACAACCTCAGACGGCGGGTTATAAATTTAAATAAATAAATAAACAGCGCTGCCAATGCCAAACAAAATTGGTACAGGCAGCAAATTATAGCAGAAGCATAATTTAAAAGACCTATGGGACAATTTTACTGCTAAGTCAAGTGATAAATGCAACACGTGATTCCTGCTGTAGCAAGTTCAACAGCAATAATTATGATCATTTTAGTTTTTACATGAAAGAGGTATAGGAATTGTTGACATACCTATTCTACCAGAGTTTTGAAAACGAAACACAAATTAGAAAATAACCTACTCTCTACATTAAAGGGAAAAAAACATAGAGGCCTTGTACTCATTATTGAAATTGGTGCTGCTGTCAAGCTAGAATATCTTCTCTGCTGCCCACCTAGCCCCCTAGCATATAAGGGGACTGAAGAAAGAGCCTGGCAGCCAGGGATACAAGGCTGTTAACTGGACTTTTTAAATGTAACCCCTCCTTACAGATGTGTAGCATAGAGACAGGAAATTGCAAAAAGTTCCAAAAAGGTAAACAACACTGCGGAATATTGCTGCAGACAGAGAAGGTGGAAACCTTGCTACCGTTTACTGCTGTAGGATCATGTGAATGATCTATGCTTTAGCTGGACAGCATGGAACATTTCCACTGCAATTCTAAGTAGAGTTCCACCTTTCTAAAACTTCAATGAACTTAGAAAAGTGTTACTCTCACTGGGATGGCACACTGAAAGTTTGTACATAAATAATAAAACAAAACTTTTTAGAAAGTTCACAAGATGGCACAGGTAGGGAAAAGATGTCATTATTTTGCGTGCTATATTACAGGCACTATCCAATAAGAGACTTGATGCTCTCACTATCATCTTCACATAGCACACGCAACCACACTGCATGCATTGAGGAAAACAAAGAGAAGTGTCACATTCTGCTGGTGACATAATACTAGATTTGATGTGCTAGTGAAATACAATTTTCTCTTCAACAAATGAGCTATCTGGAGAAAACGTTGTTGGAGATTATTATTTTTAATGTACAGGAAACATGTAAAAATCTATAAAGGCCCATGGGAGACAGATGGCTGTATGGCAGTTTTCAAAGCCAAGAGTTTAAATAATAAGTACACAAAACAGATGAGTAGAAAAGCACAAGATCCTAACAGTGTAATCCCATGCAGACTTATACTTGTCCAAATTCACTGGAATCAATAGACTTAGACTGGAGTAAATCTGCATAGGATCTCACTGTGAGTCAAGCAGCACACTGATGCTGATGTTCTAAAATCTGAAAAGGAATTGCTTTTCTAACCCTCAGTCCATATCCAGCAACCTTTCTTTCTTGCAGCACTTACATGGTGGAGAGCTCTGATAAAAATGGGTTGTGACTTCAGCCAGTGTGTGCCTTCGGCTTGTGTTGATGGGAAGGCGCACTGGGTTAAAGGCTTTAATTTCCTCCTCCAGTTCCTTGTCCTGCCTGACTTCCTCACTGATGGTGGTTTCCAGCAGGCTGTTTGGAGAGATTGAGCGATTCCTAAAGAGGCTGTTGAAGTTCGGATCCACAGGAAAGAACACAGGCTGAAAGGTCAAAAATATAGGAAGTAATGGAGTGCACTTATTCACTTCTTCCTCACACCCCTTTTCAGGACAATCCCCTCATTATCCAGCTCCTTTGCCCATGTATTTTGTACATATATGACATATATCCTCAAGAAAGCTTATGCAAACTGTAACACTGAGAAGAGAAAGATGTTTAAATTACTCTGGTCGGTGTTGTCCTACAGTGACCAGCCCCCAACTTTCCCCAATCAAATGCAATGATGATGACAGGAGCACCAACCTGTAATGGGTTGCTTATGTCACAATCCATTTCTGCCTGCAATGGTGACTGAATCAGATTCTGTGGATGCTGATAAAGCAGAGATGATCTCAATGTCTCACTGGCAAAACTGTCCTGAGGCAACTAAAGACAAAAGGGATTCAAGAGTTATTGACAACTGCTACTCAGACAAAAACAAATATATAGTTTGAAATGCTGCGCATTACAGAACATGCAAGGATTGATTACTAAGACACACTCACGAGGTATGTTTACATTTCAGGAAAATAATAGAGGGATGGGACTTAGCTCATGGAGACAGAAGATGAGACAGATCTTAAAGGCACTGAAGCTGAACAAACACAGATTTTTTACAGCAGAATGTGGGGTTTCAATTTTGCAGTACACCAAGTTCCCTTCCAATACTGAAATACGGCACAAGGGATTACACATAAACACACACTTCCTGTATCTTGCTGAAAAAAATGCTTTCTAGCCAGCAGACTGAAAGTCATTAAACAATAAGCCATTCTGCTAGGAACAGAATTGCATTAAAACAAGAAAAAGCCAAACAAAAATGAAAAATAGCATGACCTTATGAAAGGTAACATAGTTTTACCTCAATGTTGCTGAAGTCTGAGCTCCGTGGCCTTTGCTGACGGCCATTTACTGGACGATTTGACAACTGATTGCTTCTGTACTCTTTGAGGCGCTCCAAGAGAAGGTAATAAATTGCAGCAAAATGGTTGTAGCTGCTATTCTGTAGGGACTGAAGCAGAGAAAACAAAGAGACACCATTATAGCACACAGGTTCAAAAAAGGATTGCTACCACTTAACTGAAAGTTGCAAACCCAGAAGCATTTACTTGAAAGTAAGCTCCCCTGTAAATTAGTAAGGAAATTTCAATACCACACATCTAAGATCATAGCATAAGCATGGGATTAATATGGAATGATTAAGAACAGAGGAATGTGATACAGCACTGGAGCTTTTAGAACTATGAATATTCTCCTCTCACATGCTGTTATAGTTGACTGCTTGCTTTGGTAGTACTCCCATCATTTCCAAATATATTCTGCCAAGTTACACAGAAATATTTCAGTATCACTGTCCACAAATGGACCTTTTTCTTTATTTGAAATCTAAGCATCAAAAATGCTATTATTTTCTAGAAAACAGAGTCACTAAGCTTGTATAAGGGACAAGTGTTTCTCAGACTCTGCACAACCAGTCAAAGACTCACCTCAACTGTTCTCTGTCTATCAATGCCAAGACTGTGCATAATCCCAAGGACTTGTTCATTGTAGTCACCCAGATTGGAGTTGTAGTTTTGTATAGAGAATGATAAACACTGCTGCTGCTGAAGAGAAGGATCTGCCTGCATCCATTTGTGCTGTTTTATTTGGGCAATTGTGATTCGTTTTGTAGGGTCCACAACCAGCATCCGTCGAATGAGCGTTTCACAGTCTAGTGGGGTTTTTTTAAGAACAAGTAGAAAAGACACATTTGATACAGAGTCAAGAGATATCTTCAACAAATTTAATTCTCTCAGCCCCAACAAGGATTTTACAAACGCACCACGCTAACCAGAACAGTTTAATCTTGTCTTTGAGCCTCTGCTACCAAAACAGTGACAAAATACTCTGCTTTTCCTCCAGAGCAAAAGCAGCAAAAGCTGACCGGGGTACTACAAGGACTTGAGTATTTTTGTCCTTGATAGTAATTCTCCTTTTAGCAGCTAAGAAGAAAATTTTAAAATGTTTTAAATATATAGTCTAACTTCGTTTAACAACCCTTTCTGTCAAAAAATAAAGTAACAATCCCTTCTACAGCCAAATGTATTTTTCCCTATATTGCTGTGCTTTTCTACATGGAAAAGAAAATATGTCTTGGGGGAATTTTTTATACACTATTTGGAGTTAAAGAATTCTTCTAGATAATACCCTGCTTAACAGTTGTAAATTACTGGCCATTTGTTCAAGGCCAAGAAACTACAAATTCAAAAAACAAAAATCTAACAAATGGGTAAAAAAGAAAAAAGTGTAAATATCAATCATCAGAAAGATTAGTAAAACACACCTTGAGACATGAAGTAGGGAATGCGGAATCGTCCCTCCAGCACTCTTTGCCTTAGAGTTGGTAAATTAGGCCCATCAAATGGCAGAGAGCCACAGACAAGAATGTAGAGCACCACACCAAGGCTCTGTCAATAAAAAGCACAATCAGTAAAGTGGCTGAAACACAAGCAGTGCAGCCTCTTGAGTATCATCCCTCTGGAACACATTTACACTTGTAGTAGTATAGTACAGAATCTAAAACCTACCCATATATCAAGATGAGGACCTTCATATTCCTTTCCTTCAAAAACTTCAGGGGCTGCATAGGGTGGGCTTCCACACCATGTAGAGAGAGGCTCGCCAGATTTGTAGAAATTTCCAAACCCGAAATCTGTAAGGGAAGATGAAAACCTGGAATTTAACACTGGGTATGTGCATTTCAGAAATGGACTGATAATTAAAGTAAGGAAGAGCACTGCATTTGGCTAAATGTCATCAGAAAACTAGGCTCCTTCAATCAGCTGTTTTCAAAAACATTTTAAAGGTTTTTTCTACTAGGGCACCATGCAAAAAGTGAAGCAATACCATATTTTGTAGCACCAGCACAACCACTGCTCACCTGCAAGCTTGATGTTCATGTTGGCATCTAACAGCAGGTTCTCTGTCTTGAGGTCTCTGTGTACTATGTGGTGACTGTGGCAATATTCAACCGCTGAAAGAATCTGCCAGAACTTCTTTCGAGCTTCACTCTCACTCAGGTGGCCATGAGAAGTCAAGTGATCTGCCAGACACAATGACAAAAGCTCAAAAATGAAATGCCTAGGGTAGACTTCTTATTTTCCTTCACTTTTATGTTGACTGAGTGGTATTAAGTGCTATGGTGTTGTGAACATTTACTCTGACTTTAAACAGTGAAGCATTAGGATGTAAATCTTCAGTAACGCCCACCCACCCAGTATCAGAAACTTCAGCTAATGTCCCATCTTTTAGCCTGAACCAGACATATAACACGACTGTTCCTCTCAAAAATGCTGTTTATCCAAATGTTTAAATACTTAGAGGGTGAGAAGAATGTCGCCAAAAGAACATCAAAAGCTCAGTGTCCATAATGAGAACTCACCGAACATTTCTCCGTTTTTTGCAAATTCTGTCACAATGTAAAGCATATCTTTTGTCTCCATAACCTGAGGAGGGAGAGAGAAAATATTTCAAAGATACAGACCTCTGATTTGTTTCCATGTAGTTTTGAATGTAAGTACATTTCTGTACTGCATAACATAGCAAATTCCTTCACTACAGAAGTTTATCCAGTAAACATGAATTACTCAGAATAACTATAGTTCCCCTCACAGTTGCCATTAAAAACTGCAATGTGATGCAGCTATCCTTTTGAGTCCATGTGTAGAAACATTTAGCTGTTTGCTGATAAACGGTTGTGACTATGTAAGCCGCCCTGAGCCCGCGTGCGGGGAGGGCGGGGTACAAATGTAATAAAATAAATAATTTCTTATTTTTACTATATATTAGCAACAAGTTTATGACCTCTGGGTACACACTTAGGGAATGGTAACATGGTTTATGATTTCACTATTAACAAGACAGGTGATCAATAAATTCAGAGCACACAACAAGGAGTATGTAAAGGCTACCCAATCACACTTGCCATTTTACAGGCTTTTTACTCTTGCCATTTGAACTGTCAACAACACCCCTCCACACCCAAACTGGCATTTCACCTAATTTTTACTACTCAAATTCCTCCAAAAGTGAGCATCAAACATAAACATCAATCAACAAGAATATAAAATACTAAGTTGCAACATAAACAAAAAGCTGGAAGTAAGTGCTCCTCTTGTTCAGTTAAGTAGCCTGATTTATCAAGAAGGATTTTAAGATATTTTCAAATCCTTAAAATATTATTTTGGTCCATGCTATTCTGTGGAAGTAATATTAATAGAACCTATGAATCTTGTACCACTATGCTAGCAAACTGGCAATAATTGGACAGAAATGTATGTTGTTATAAATTTATTAAATGAGATTGTGATCTTTAAAAATAATATCTCCACATAAATAACTGGCTCTTCTAGTTTTCATATTAATTAAGCTTTGGGGGGGAAACTAGCCAAAAAGCACATCTTATTATGATGGTAACTGATACCTCACAATGAACTTTAGATCTACCGTGACATATTACCTTTACCTTAAACCCACACAATACTATTTAAGATGATTAAACAAAACTTCCACTGAATGCTAATTAAATACAGTATATAGCATTTGTTATGTCGGCAGACATTTGCAATCTCTTTTTCAGCACAGTGCATTAATGTGTGTGTTTTGAAGTTTTTAAAACTCAAATTTAAGTGGCAACATACAAATGATACCCTGTTCCTAATTTTGTTTATTCAGATGCAAGACCAAATGATTTTAATGTGACTTATTTCAAGTCAGCCCAGTGAGAAACTTTGCATTATAATCAGCAATGTATTTTCACAGACAGTCAGTGTAGACATAAGAAATAGTCTTAACAGGAAATTCACCTCCTACACTTGACAATTTACACTCACATTCAAATTATTTGTAGCTATCTTTAAATCAGTTTTGATCAAATATAACAAGTTTGTTAAACACAGTGCCTGATCTATTTCTGTTTGTGCATTTTAAATAAGTGTAATGATCATTCACTTGACCTGGATGGCCCAGGCTAGCCTGGTCTTGTCAGATCTCAGAAGCTAAGCAGAGTTCAACCCTGGTTACTACTTCCATGTGAGCCCACCAAGGAAGTCCAGGGTCATGAAGCAGAGAAAGGCAATGGCAAACCAACTCTGAACATCTCTTGCCTTGAAAACCCTATGGGATTGCCATAAATTGGCTGCGACTTGATGGCACTATCCACCACCACCACCAATGATCATTCTCTCCTGTTCCAACCAGGTGCATCATAAGATTATTAACAGCCAAGACCATAACAATAATTCTAATAGGCAGATAGTAGGCAGAAGTGATTTCTTACCTGATACAGCTTAATAATATGGGGGTGATTCAAAAGCTTCATTATCTGAACTTCACGATAGATTTTCTCCAAATTACTTGGATCTAGCCGTGTTTTGTCTATAATTTTTATTGCAACCTACAGATTCAAGAAAAGAAACCCAGAACCTTTGTAAAATACACTTGTGTTACTACAGTCTACCAACACATATAAAAAGAACAGCTGTAAAAAATTAACACCATTTGAGAGATTATACAAGCTGCACAAAATGCCTCTTTTAGAGAACAATATGCAGTGTAATATAGCCTAAGTACAAAGAAACCCCAAACAAACATATATCTTAAAGCTTTCTTGAGTATAAACTTCATTGGAATAACTGGGACTTGCTTACAAATGCAACACAATAGGAGTAAACTGTAATAAATTTAATTGGATTTATAAGTTCAATTGCATTTATTCCCTGGTAAATTGTGTTTAGGACTGCAGTTTTCCAATCAGGATGCTGGTTACTTTGACAACTAGTTCAGAAATTCCATTATATATTCCTGAAGTTGTACTATGTTTTTTATTTCCAAAACTGTCAGCCTTACAGGAAATTCAGCCAAGATACCCAAAAAACATTTGTCTGTTTTACTAAGGTAATCAATAAAATGAAATCCACTCTACTGAAAGACTTCACATCCATCTCACCAGTACTGCTGGCTATTCTGAGTATACTGCTCTAATTAGCCCCTTTTAATATGAGTTATTTATTTCATACTTCTGCAAACCAAAAACTTCATGGAACAATATCCTCAACTCTTTACTCTTGATTTCCTAAACCAATCCAAGCCACTGACATCACACCCACCTGCGTTTTGGTCACTCTGTGCCGAGCCAGTTTTACTACAGCAAAATTGCCTTTTCCCAAGGTCCTCTCAATATCATAGAATCCAACTCGAAGAGGCCTTTGCTGGCTTTGGTTTGAGGTGGGGACAACTGTATAATCTGACATGATCACCATGGTGAGATTTTGGTGGGTGACAAACACTATTTAGAAGTATTTATATACGTATTCCTCTTCAAAAGCTGAAGTTTTGCACCTGCAAAACAAATAAAAATTCCACTGAAATTCGTGCCGTACAAAGCCTTCACCAAAGCTCTCCAGAAGTTGGTCCCCAAGAACTTCCAAATCTTAGACTGAGAAAAATAATTATGGCTATTTCTAAACTGACTTTCTCACTGGGGCTTACTGAAGTAGAAAGTTTTTAAACAGACAAAAACTTCCCCCCTGCCCAAATAATTTACAAACGGAAAACACTCCGCGATTTAGAAATTCCAAACATGAAACTACTTGCAGAAGCTGGCCTGGAAAGTTCTTAGTGAGTAGCCTCAGCTTTTCTAGGGAAGGAAACGCTTCCCTTCGTGAAGAGTCGCTCGCAATGAGGACTCCGAGGAGCGCCACCTCGGAAAGCAACGCGGGCTCCCAAAGAGCTGCATGCCGGGTTCCCCCAGGGCAGTTAGTAGCCGCAGTGCCCTACGAGACGGGCCCGCGAGGACTGAGGGAAGCCAGGAATATGCGCGCCTGTCCCCAAGGACAGCCACAAATATCTCAAGCATTCCAGGCAGAACTTCTCCCCAGGAAACTTGCCCTGTCCCCGGTTTCTTCCAACAGCATCGGCCGCACTCTTTTAAGTTCCAGGAGTACCTCGCGCTAGACAGGCAGGCTGGCTGCTGCCGCCGCGTCCCCACCCGCTCGCCTGCCAGGTTCGCTGCTGCTGCTCTAGCGATGCCGCCGCGCCGTGCGCTGCCTCTGCTGCCAGCGCACTCTGTGTGTGCAGAGGCCAGAGGAGCACGCGGAAAGCCCTCCCCCCCCCCGCCCACCCCGAAAACCGAGACGGACCCATTGACGTCACTTTGACGCCAGACCGACGCGCGACCAAGCGCGAGGCTGAATGAGAAAGGAGAGAGAGAGAGAGAGACATAGAGCCGTTGCCAAGAGACGGGCTGTTCTGACGCGCGCCCAAATGGGCCCGTCACCCTGGAGATCAGGAGGGTGGGGTGACGTTAGCGCCAAGCGCGAGGGAAGGGGAAAGCGGGCGAAGGGGAGGGGGGGGAGAGAAGCGGCCCTTCCCTGTGCGATCCGTCACGTGACTTTTGTTATCCTTGCAGGGGTCGCCACCTGCCGGAGCCGCAGAGGCCCGCTTTCACTCGCCTCCCACCGCAGCTCAGGCGGCATTTAACCCGGTGTGCTCCAGAAGCCCAGTAGAGGTCGGGTGCCAAAGAGGCCATCCCGGGTTGGTTTTTACACTGCCGCCGCTGGCACCGCTTGACCCGAGACCTTAGATCCCAGAGTCTCGAGAGGATTTCGTCGCTTGCGCATCGCGACACAGACAGGCGGTCACCCCACGTGCACCAAAATAGGATTATGAAACTTCATGCAAGAGACGTCGAACGCGATTTAAATCTCACCGTCCTCTGGAAATAAATGCCTGTGTGCGCTGGAATCCAGCCTAGTTTGGGAGCAGGGACAGAGTTCTGCACTTCGCCCTCCGCGGGTGAAATTGGGGGTTAGTGACAGTAGCCCTGCACGCCACTCTGCCGACTGCAGGTTTCAGGCCAAAGTCCAGGCACCCGCAGCAACACAATTAAAAGCCCCCGGCTTTGAATCCCAAATTACAAAGCCAGTTTAAACGCTGCAGTTTATCTGCCATGGCTTAAAATGATGAGGAACGGTGGATTTTTTACTGGAACTCATAGGAAGCGAAATCTAACTTCGAAAATTCCGTATTTAAAATCTGCTGAAAGGAATTGAGAGCATCAACACACACTGTATCTATAAAAATGGGCTGTTGTCTGTTTAGCTTGCTATTCTGTTTCATGGACTTCAGGCAGATTTCTTCGGCTCCTTATCAGGGACTATAATAGAAACTGAACTCCAGGGTAGGTTGAGTATAAGCAGCCAATTGGTGGAATATTCCTGGAGGTATTTATCAGTCTGGAATTACTGGAAGTATAGCCCATGTTCAACGTTTTAAAATGTATGATAGATAGTAATTTTAATATACCATGGAGACAAATAGTAAATGTATTAAACTAAAAAAGCTGGCAGGACCTTGACAGTCTGCCCTGAATTCAGTTTTTAGGTCACCTTGCCACAACTCCTGCAGCATAAGCTATTTGCATTTGCCAAGTTCTTGCTCAGATTTTGCTTAGATGAGTGTGGCAGCATGCCAGGATCCTGAAGACCTACTAGTTGAATTTTTTGAGATCAGAACAGAATGCAGCAAACCTCCAATTTAAGTGTTGAAATATCACCCTGGCATATGACATGCCAGGGTCTAGCAGTCCATTGGGGGTGGGATAATGCCTCTGGCGGGAGCTGTGGTTTGGAAGCCTATGATGTACGTTCATGTGTAATTCACTCAATTACATGGTTCATGACCTCATTCGGTACAATTTCATCCCAGATGTTTTTTTTTGTTTCATTTGGAACTTTTTCTTGAACTATTCACATAATTACTACCATATATTTTAAAATCAGGGCAGAGTTGAAATGTGCGAAAAAACCTTTTCAAGACATGTTTATCACCATAACTAGACATGTTTATCACCATAACTAACAGCATAGTGGCCCCTGTGCAGATGATGAAAGCAGCAAAATGCCTGGTTATGCAGTAAAATACAACTTTGTAATGTGACCCAAAGGAAAAAAGGTCTCCCAAAATAAGTCAGCAGCAAATCCCAATGAAGTAATATAAAGAAGCATGAAGAAATACACATAAGACTGAGCTATTTCAGAATCTGTATCCAAATCGCCTTTGCTTATCAGTATGGTATAGTGGTTAGTGTCAAATAAGCATCGGGGGGACCTGGATTTGAATCCCCACTTTGCCGTGGAAAGTGGGCCAGTCACTGACCTTGGACCAGTTACTCTTTTTCAAACTAACTTACATGAACACGAAAGCTCATACCTTGAATAAAACTTTGTTGGTCTTAATGGTGCCACTGAATTCAAACTTTGTTCTGCTGCTTCAGACCATCATGGCTACTGTAGTGAAAAGTTTTAAGTGTGTGTTTCTTGAAATGACTGGTAAATTGCAGAAGAATGGGGGGGTATGAAAGAGGGGGATGAGCCAGTGAGGTGGTTGGTTGGTGACTGAGAGTGTATGGGCAGAGCTAAGAAGTGTGTGTGGAGAGAGTGAAAGCAGTTAGCAGTCTACAGAGTGGGAAAAGCAGTCTTCTGATTAGAATCTCATTAAGATTCTAAAGAAAATAGAATACTTGCAGAGAACATATTAGGGACTAGAGAGTCAAATCCTAATATTGTCAGAGTATTATAAGAATGTGAGAGGAAGAAGCTGACAGAAACCTGAGTTAAAAAGGGAGAGATTAACTGAGCAAAATAAAATAAAGATTGAACGAAGTACATTCTGAAAAGAAAGGGGGATTTGAGAGAGAGAAAAAGGAGTAATTGTGAAGTGAAAGACTGTGACACTTCAGTCAGAAGTTATCTAATACACTTTTATTCACTGAAGAGATAAGTTACAAAACATCTTGAAACCGATATGCTTCTTGTGCAAATAAAGTTTTATTTTGTTTATTGTTAACCCAGAGTCATATGCTATTTAAATACTAGAGTCTCATCCACAGGACCATGTAGACCAACAAAGGATCCTTAGAGCTTGGGCACAGTACCTTGGAAAAGGTTAAAATATAAGATTGGAATTAAATTCCTGATGGCAGCATTATATACTCAGAAATAAAGAGAGACATAACAAGAAAGGCACACCATACCTAACCACATGAATAAAAGAGAGTAGTCGTGACAGTTACCTACCTGAATCGACCTCACAGGGTTAGTGTTGTGCGAAAAAATGGAAGAAGGGAGAATGCTGTTGTAAGCTGCTTTTGGTCCCTGTTGAGGAGAACGGAATATATATTTAAAAACAAATTCTAGATAGATTCATGCTACTCTCTTCCTGGAAGCTGGAAAGGCACCTTAGTTACAAGGAGAGAGTGTAGGCGGCCAACTTTGTGGCATGGTCTTGGCAGAGGTTCAGAGTCTGAGCCACTTGGGTCCCTAGGTACAGATGTGTTCAGTGACTTGGTGCCTGTCTCTTCCTATTTTCATGAGGGAGGTGATGATATATACCTTCCTTGTGAATATCAGTTAGTAGCCATAAAGTACTTAAATAATCTGATGTGATATTCCATGCTAACATTCCTTATTATTATGAAACAAAACTCACTGTTCTCACCAAAGCACTTGGAGCCTAGCAAAACAGCATGTACAAGTATAACTGGCGCATGTGAACTCCCTGGAAGCTATTAAGGAAGAAGTACATTGCGACAGGCTACATTCCTTCCCCTTGAAATACTGGTAAGACCTGGTGCTCTGTATCCCATCCTGCCTGGAAACAGGCAGCTCTTTATTGGAGTCCCAAAGGAAAAGGATTTGGTAACCAAGATTGGATCATATTGACTAGTTCAGCACAACTCAAAGAGATCTATTAGCAGACTCTAGAAAAACAAGAATTAATCCCAAGTGGCATTTTACAGTTATCCCATGGAGTCCTGCTGTGGTTTTTTGAAATTCATACCAGTGGTTGTACCATTCTGCGATTCCTTCTTCCTGTGTTCTTCTCTCTAGTCACCAAACTTCTTTTCTCCCCTTTTGTACCAGCTTCTCAGTAAGCTTAAAAGCCTTTATCCATCCACGGTGCACAGTATTTGACTCCCAATTATCCTGTCACATAAGCCCTTCTATAACACCTGTGGGACTGAGCTAGGTCAGGGTTAATTCACTTTTCATCAAAAACCTGTGAGAGTTTATAATAGCCTGGTGGTATGTATGTATGTCGCTGTTTACATCTGTAATGATTCCCTTGGTAAAGCAGATAAAGCAGTTTCCCAACTTTTTTCTGTTTGCCAGTCCTTGTTAAGCATGAATATGCCTGAGATAGGTCTTTGTCTCTCTTCCCCCCCCCCTAATATATCAGGTGTAGTTGTATGTTGATACAGATCTGCTGTCCCTATTTGAAATCTCTGTTCAGTTTTTAGGAATGAGTTAGCATAATTCCCTTCAATAATGCATCTATATGACCAGAGAGGGCTACCTCAGTACATTGTAAGAACCAGTCAGCAATGACGAAGCATTTGTATACTTGAGCTTATTGACTACCTGTCATTTTTCTTAACCTCTTCCCCTCTGTCCATCCATCTCTCTCCCTCCATGTTAATTAGATAGGGTTAGCTCTACCTGCTGTTTATCATCCTGGCAGAGCTTATTGTTTATCTCCCACTCCCCCCTTCCATGCCCCGCAGGCTATGTGGTTCATCATACCAGTAGTTATCAGAGAAGTGTCAAACCCTTAGGAGCCTGCCCCCACTCCTTCACTGGAGCAAAAGGAGTTGGATAGAGGAACCTCTAGATCCCCCTCCCAGTGGAAGTCCCATCCTGAAGACCGCTGAGATGTGCAGCCAGGGGAGAGTGGGGACATTTACTTCATGTATACCTTACCTTTCTCCCTAATGAGGTGCCAGAGCAGCATACTTGGCTCCAGTGTTCCCTCTAAGTTGAGTTAGTGTGCGCTAGCTCAGATTTTTTTAGCCTCCGGCTCACACATTTTTGTCTTAGCTCAGGAAGGATGGCTACAAAGCAAACTTAATTTATGCAGTAGCCAAATTGCTTGCTCACAATTTTAATGCCAGTAGCTCACAAAGTAGAATTTCTGCTCACAAGACTCGACAGCTTAGAGGGAACATTGCTTGGCTCTCCTCTCCACATATTTTGTGGTGGAGGGGGATGGCTG